CACCCCCCCAAAAAAAAAAAAAAAAAAAAAATTGGAAGAAGAAGAGAGAAGAAAATAGAAAAACCCAAGGTTTGACCCTCGTAAAAAATTAAAACCTGAGTTTTTAGATTTTTCATAATAAATCGTGAACTTTTAAATTAGGCACTCTAGCTGTGAGTAAGTAAGTTGTGATGATTGTGGAGGAGGGAAGAAGACATGAAGTAGAAAAAATAGTGGAGAAAGAGAGGGATAAATGACAAAATATACTTCAGTAAAGCAAACAATTATATTTTGTTGTAGCTTCATTGTGTCATTTGTAGTCAATCATGCGATTTGATTTTAGATATGATTGGAGTTGTGTGATCGAGGTATTAGTTTAACCCTATGAATCATGGGTACTTCGAAAAACATGCCGTATTCGTACCGAGTACTTACTGGCGTATGGTACCTCGTATGGTACCTCTGCACATACTTACCGGGTACATGAAACACGTATTAAAATTTTTTCTTCTTAATTTTTGGCGTACCCAGATGTACCTATCATATACCCAAGGCGTACCGTACCTCAATTGAAATAATATTTTCTTCCACTACAAAAATAAAACTCCTCTCACTTAGATTTCTTTTTAATTTTTAGTTTTATACATAGCATGATTTTAAAATTAAGCTATAGTTTATAAGTTATTTAATATATTGATATTTAATTTTAATTTATATTTTCACTTTTGACATGAAATGTTAATTGTAGGTTTAACCTAAACAAATTAAACCATTTAATTAATTTTTGTATTAGTCTAAATTAAAAATAAATATTTTTTTTGCAAGCGTACCAAATCGTACCCATATCCTATTTTTTTAAAATTTTACTGTATTGACTTACCTCTATCGTACCAATACCAGTACTTATATCCGTACCTGTGCTTCATAGATTATGATCCATTAGTGAGAGTCTTGTGTACTGAGCTGCCTAAGATTGAGATTATGATAGATTGTTGATTTCAATTTTCATTCTATTGTTGGCATGCTTATTTATAATAGAACTTCATACTCAAGGAATGTTGAAGAACATATTGGTTACTTTGGTGAATTGTGAAAATACTAAGAAGGACGGACACGTGACACGGCATGAACATATAGATACGTAAATTTCAAAAATTATAAGACACAACACGTTAGGACACGTGCAAAAATTATAATTTTACATATTTATTATATGTTATGTTTTTAAATGTTTAATATATATTTTGTCAAATATTTAATTTTATTAAATTTATCAAAATTTGGATATGTTATTTTAGTAAAAAAAATTAATTTTTTTTCTTTTTGAAAAAAGTAGTTCTCAGCATGTCCTTAACGTATCTTCAGCATGTCCTCAATGTGTCCTTAGTGTGTCCCTACATGTCTGCAGCGTATGTAGTGTGTCCCATCATGTCCAACTCTTTCCAGCGTGTTCAACATTTGTCCAGAGCGTGCCCGACACGTGTCCGTGTCCAACACGTGTTGGACACTCATACGTGACCTCCGGAGAAGTGTCTGTACATAATAAAGATATCAATGTCATATGGACTTTATGTGATTATGCTTTTAGTAACAGTATAGCTTATGGTGATAGTTTCTTTATGTTTTCAAACAAGTATGTATTTACTTGGATGGTGAGGTAATAGCAAATTGATTCGGTTATTTTCTTGATTTATTCTTTCAATTATTTTCAATCATTGAACGGATATGCAAATTATTTATTTATTTTTTCATTTGATTTTGTTGTTCCTTGAGTTGTCATGGATGATTGAAGAGAACCCAACATGACATTCCTTGGAAATAAAATTTATATGGTAGCTCTGCTATGTTGAAGATCCTTATTCCACTATTCCCAGTATAAGTTTGACATGATTGAGATTCTCTGAAATGCTTAATTTGGCTCTTTTTTTAATTAAATATTTATGGTCTGAATTTTGATTTTTTAAAAGAAGTTATTTACTTTTTCATTTTATATTTATTTTCAACTTTATATGTAAAACATGAGCCTTTCCTTTTGTTTGTTTGATGGAACCATAGCATATTACTTGTAACCGTGAGAGTTGACTTCAATCATGATTTGGGAACAGAGAGTTTACATATGGAGATATTAGACTCTTATTATTTAGATTTTGATTACTAAGAAATCATGGTCAACTGGTATAGGCTTCATTCATAATATACAGCCTCATAAATCCCAACTTGAATGGAAGTCTCTTAAAAGCAAGTAATCACAGGTACTTTATTTCATTATTATTTGGAATAATTTTATATGTTTAAAATGCATCATAATTTTTTGTATGAAAGTGAAGAGATTGACTTTAAGTTTGTGTTTTCTAGACAATTGTTCATAATTAGATAATATGCATCATTTAAATTTAGGTATACTTGAAGGTCTTATTTGCAAATATTGCAGAACTTTGGTCAATGTTTGTGCTCTTTGCATGCAACTATTTTTGAAGTAGACGGTTCTTTTCATCTCACTTTATTAAAATGTTGAGTGACATGCATCCCTACCTAAGAAAGCAAAGCAATAATTGATTAAAAAATTCAACATAATATCACATTTTAATGAGCTTATGGTTGTTTAACAAGTACACCCATGAGAGAGATTTCCCAACTACTATGAATAAGAAAATCTCATTGTCAAGGATTACAATAGTTAGGCGGTTATATATGCGTTAAAAAGTGATTGGCATTATCAATTTCATCATCTTCTGTGTTGTTTAATTTGTAATTCTCATATTTGATGTTGATTTGGAACGTAAGCAATAACATACGTTTTGGAAAAGCACTGCCATTAAATTTTCAGAACTGTTTTGTATAATAATAAACTTGCTATCAACCATGTCACAAAAAAATTTGTACGGATTAGTAATGTTATCAATTGAAAAGGAAATGGTAGATCACATAAGCTTAATTAGTAATTTTACCGCTAAACATGCAAAAAGAGTAATATTTAAATGATATTTTGTTATAGTTGATTTAATTTTTATTTAGTATTATATCTGTTGATTTGTTTGTTGTTTTATTTCTTGTTTTAAATGGAATTTAGTATAGAATTTCAGTAATATACAACTAAACTGTGTGGAAACTAACAGAAAAACATGCTAGTATTTATAATTTTACCCACAATTGTTCTTTTGCTATGATTATGTATAGAGGAGGTTTTGGAATTCTTTTCCTCGTCATCATACTGTTTTGCATTTTTTTACTTTATATTTTTTCTCTGTAGGTGTATTGTGACATTGGGGTGTTTTGGAAAGTTGATAAAAAGCTAGCTTTTGGCTTTTTACCAAGCTTTTTAGCTTTTTTGGAAAGTGATTTAAAAAGTTGATAAAAAGCTGACGTTTGACTTTTCGATTTAATATTTGTTTATAATGTCAAATCAAATTAAAATGACCAAAATACCTTTACCCAAACATAAGAAATTTACTTTTTTACTTTTTTGTCATAGGCCCGAATTTGTAATTTCAACACTTGCATTTTTCTCTCTTCCCAAATGAATTTTTGTTGCGTTTTTGGCTGCTAGCTTTTTTCCCCTTGGATAAAAAACGTGGTCTTTTACAAAACTTCCCAAAACGGCACATTGTAGCTGATTACTCTCATTACATGCAATGAATGGAAGGAAGAAAAAAAAAAAAGAAAAAGAAGAAAGAAAAAAAAGTCGAGTAGTTAATATACATGACATGGCATGACTTGAGCTTACTCTAAATTTGCATTTTTTGTTCATAGATGGACAAAGCAGCATTGCTTGCTGAAGTTGTCAGCCACGTGAAACAACTGAAGAAAACTGCAACAGAAACCAGTAAAGATTTACTTGTTCCAATGGACACCGACGAAGTAAGAGTTGAATCACATAACGAGGGAGATACTGAGGAAACCTTCTCATTCCGGGCCTCCATATGTTGCGAATACACACCCGAACTTCTGTCTGAACTGAGACAAGTTCTCAATTCCCTTCATCTGAATATGGTGAATGCAGAAATCTCAACCTTGGGAAGTCGAGTGAAAGTTTTTGTTTTCACCAGCAAGAAATCCATGAATGCCGACAATCCCGAGGCATGCCAAGTCATCGTGAATTCTATTCATCGGGCTTTGAGCACTATTCTGGATAAGGTTTCTGCCTCGGCAGAGTACTCGCCTAGAACAACGCTTCCAAACAAGAGGCAAAGGATTTCTTTTTTCAATTCTTCGAGCTCATCTTCATGAGTAGATATTCTGGTAAGTTGGTTATAGGAGTAGTTATGTACATACACTTTTGTAACTTGTAGGGGTGTGTGGTGGTGTATATTGTATATGATGTTCCTATATCTTTACTTGGAGCATGAATGTATCAAAAAAATTGGATGGTGTTACTTAATTTCATGGAATTATATATTTATATGAATGTATCAAACTTTGGAATATGTAACACGGGATTCTCTGTTCCAAATTCTTCTGTCATTTTATCTCGAAACACTTGCAATTGTTAAGACTATATCTTGAGATATTTGCCCTTTGAGATTTTCATGTGATTCTAACGGTGGTTGTTGATGTTTTCCAAATATGTGGTGAGAGTGAAATTATTTTGCTTTGGCTTTAGTCCAAGAGGTGGAAAAATTGTTGATCCTAAGGTAGTATTTGGTTCACTGGAATGAAACAGAATGAAATGATTATTCCATCAAAATGTTTATTTTCATGTTTGGTTGATTAAGTGCTCGTTTGGCATGTGGGTTTGGATGAAGTTGAGACTATTTTAGTTACAAAAAGACAAAATAGGTTTTTAAACCTAATAAGATAAAATGTCATATTTAAATCATAATTATTTTATTTTTTTCACTTACAAAAATCATTTTTTTTTTTTTTGATCTAGTCAAAAAATCTATTTCAAATGAGACTTGTTAACTTTAGGCTAAAATAGTCAAAAAGTCAACCTACATCTCAAACGAGGCTTAATAAAATAGTGACAAAATATATTATAAATATAATCATCATTCATCATTTTAAGGGAATTTTGAAATGATCATTACATATAAAAATTTAAAGAATGATCATTTCATTCTATTTTCACTTATTCGAGTGTAACCAAATGAAACCTAAAGGTTAATTTGGATGATTAGAAATTTTGTGAGGGATGAGAATGCATGTTATTAGTGGTCCGATTCTATTATTTGGAACATATTGAAACATTAACATATTGGAACAAGAAAGTGATTACTTCTTTTTTTGGTTACTTCGGAAATAAAACAAGGGACTAAGCCCGTTCCATAGAGCATCCTAACATATCAGCAACAAGTAATTCTCTGATCTCGGCTGGGGGTTCTGGCACCACCAGCATATTCTCCGGTTGAGCTGCTCCAAGTTTGGCAAGAGTATCAGCACGCAAGTTACCTTCTTTCCAAACATGTTGTATCGTGCAGTTGCAGCCTTTCAGCAAAATTTTGTCATCCTCCACAAGGCTCTTGAAAGGGCATTTTTCAGCTATGTCTTCCTCCATTAGGTGCACAACTTGGGTTGCATCCATTTCGATAGTCACATCATCTAAGCCTTGTTGCAGGATTACTATCAATCCCTTGTACACTGCCTAAAGCTTTGCTTCCAGATTGGTCCTTGGTTGAAGTCTGCCATAATAGCCACAGACCCATGCTCCTCTTTCATTCCTAATCAGACCTCCAAAGCCTCCTGTAGACACCCCATTTTTGACCGACCTTAAGACTCAGACGTCACCGATTGAGCGCTTGGTGATGTTGCATATCGTGCTCGTTCAGAGGTTTCAGAGTTTCGGCTGCGAGCCTTGCCTCCCGACTTCCGGACTCTTTGGTGCTTTGCCTCGGTTTGCGAACCAAGCTCTGTTTTCTCTTCCCGAAGGGAGGGAGAGGTCCCGTAGATCATCTCTCAGTGGCCGTAGGCTACGTTTCGTGGTCGTAGGCCATTTTTCTCAAATTTGGAGCCCGGTTTCGGTTTTTCGGGAGCCGTTGCCGTGTGCCTCGGTTCGGGATCGCTTAACCACCTCCGTTTCGCTCCGATTTCGAGCATATCATCTTATTTCCTACCTTTTGAGGAATGTGGCTCGAGAAAACACTTCGTGGTCGACACCACTCCCGGTGCCTAACAGTCATTTTCGGGGCCTCGGCTGCGCGTTTCGGCCTCCGAACCTTCATTTTGCATCGGTTTTGGTTGTTTTTGGCAGGACCCTGTTCATGGTAGAAGGTCGTAGAAGGTGGGAGGGCCAACAATTGTTTAAACAAGCAGTTTTACCTCCATCGCCCTCGTCCCCGTTTTTCCTTACTTTCAAAGCCAATTTGCTCACCTGGGCCATTTTCTTGAACCCTAAATCCCATATTTGTGATAGTACACATCTGGGGAGCCACCAATATTGGTGGCCGGCTACGTCAATGCTTTGGACTTTTGAACCTTTTGAACCCCTCCTAAAAGTGGGTTGTTCTCTCTCCTGGTTCATTGTCTCCAGTTTTTAACCACTTGGTTGTGTTGTGCACACATCAGAGACTCTCTTTTTGGGGTGGCCGGCCACTAATGCTTCTTGAACCTTTTGACCCCTAGCCGACCGGCCATGGGAGGTAGCCGGCCGGCCACCTAAACCCTAGATAACTGGCCGGCTAGAATCCTTGCATCAAGTACAGTGCAGATACACCCTCCTTTTCCCCCCAGATTCTGTATCCGGGGAGGCTGCATTTTTGGGGGGAAACTTGATTCATTTCCCTCCATTTTTTCCCTCCTTTTTCCCCCCTTTTTTGCCTATATAGCAGGCCCTCCATCTGCATATTGAGGGTTACAAAAATTTCCCCCAAGCCTCTTGCCTTGTATCTCTCTCTCTATATATATTTCCAAGCTCCAAACCCTCAAGCCTTACACCATTTCCACACCACCACCTAGCACCACATCACCATCATCCATTCCAGCAGCTTCAGGGCTATTTTCAGAGCTAAGGAGCCACCAAACTCAAGCCAAGGAGCTGTCAAAGATTGGTCTTCAAGGGTGAGTCCCTATTCTCATTTTTTGTGCTTTATTTTGTTCAATACATTAGCCATACTTGCTTGCTGTTTTGGGCTCCGACCCTAACTGGAGCTAGGCTTATTTTGAGCTATTTTTCATGTTTTTTTAAGGGCCTCTTACTGTTTGAGGCCTCCTTGTTGCACTTGCTTCATTACCCCTCTTGTGTGCCTATTTCTTGTGTAGTATTTTTGGCCTACGTGTAAATTGTTTTGAGCTCTGTCATAAACTGTAAAGTTGCTTATTTTGAGCCCTTATTCAACATTGTTCAAGGGCTCATCACTGTTTGAGGCTTCTATTTACCACTTGCCTTTATATCTCTCTTTTGGCTCCATTTTTGCATGATTTGTTAGCCTCTTATGCTTCTGTTTTTGGGTTCTGGTCCGAACTATAAGTGACCTTATTTTGACCCTCTCTTCATGTTTCATTAAGGGTCTTTTACTGTTTGAGGCATCCTTTTTGTACTTTGTGTTATAGCTCTCTTTTTGACCTTATTTTGCGTAGTATTTCGAGCATGCTTGTGCACTGTTTTGGGTTTGATCATAGACTGTAAAATGCCATGTTTTGGGTCCCTCTTCAACATTGTTGAAGGGCCCTCTCTTGTTCGGGGTCAGCAGCTGTGACTTGCTTCTTTGTCTCACACTTAGGGCCATTTTCGCATGCTAGCTTAACCCCATTTGTGTTCATATTTTGGCCTTGCTTAAAACTGTAAACATGCTTGTTTTGGGGCTGCCTTGAATCTTTCTTCACATTTCATGATCAAATAGTGCATGTTTTGTATAGCTATAGGCCATTGCGCATGCCTAGTTTTGCATTTCGGGTCCCATTCCATGCATCGGGTGCCATGTTTCCATGATTCGGGGCTGTTTTGGGTCATATTTTAGCGTTGAAATTTGCATGTTTGCATACCATATTTCATACCTTGCCATGTCTTGTTAGAGTGGCATTTGGTGCCTTAGGTTCGGTCCTCGGTTTGTGTGCATGCGTGCGCGCATCTCGAGTTGTCTCATTTTTCATCTCATGGCCTCTCATGTGAGTGTGGCTAAGGCCCACTCATGTTGGTGTAAGCCCATATTGCATTGTGTATGCCATAGCATTGCGTATTTTAGGTTGTATGTTAGCGTATTTTGTATGCCATGTTATCTCGTGTATCGTGTATGCCATCTCATAGCATTGTGCATGCTAGGTTGTATATTAGTTGCATTCATGCATGTCGTGCATATTGCATTGTGCTTGGGATAGGGGCTAGCCCGAGCACGGGAAACGAGGGACGTTTCGTACTCCGAGTGACGGAACGTGTCTCAATTCCCTGTCACCGACACTCCGGATTATCCATGATGGAGTTTGGGTTTAGTTGAGTTTTCATGTGCACCCATCCTATATTGGGTAGTGCAATTCGACTCCTCGGCCATCATAGCATCGATAATGCGTGATTGGGTGGCACGAGGATCGAGGCATGCATACATTTGTGAAAATACATTGCTATGCCCCTTTCCTGCTCTCTGTTGCAGCAATCAAGAATTAGCAACCTTCCGGAACTTGGCGCGCTTTCCAAGAATAATTGTAAAACAGAGGCTAATTGGGGCATCCAGTGGATTTCGCGCGAGGCAGCCAGACATGCATCATCCATCATCTGAAGAAGAGTCAAGGCAGTCCTGGCTTGCATGCCAGTTTATTATTGTTCTTAGTTAATTTGTAATTTAATTAGGAATTTGTATATATTTGGACTGTATGTATTTGGACTGTAATATTTATTCGGGACTGTATTATTCTTTCGGACCCTCTGCGCGAGGGCAATATTGTAATAAGTGTGCGTGTGTGTGATATATGTCTTCCAACCCCACGTCTTCTCTCCTTTTATTTACCAGATTATGATTGGTTAGATTAGGGCATGTTCAATTGCATACAGTATGATAGCATGTTGCATTCATTCCATCATGCTTTGCATGCACCGGGCTCGGCGCATCATACTAACTGCATTGTATTTTCAATTCCAAGTTGATACATGTTAGCTGTAGCATTTCATATGCCATGTTTAGAATAGCCGAGCCCTGGCTATAGTTGCATTTTTGCATGTGTTGCATTAGGCATTTCTGTTATAATTAGGATCAATACATGGATTTCTAATTAGTTTCTGTTTTGGCTTGGAGTACTCGGTAAGTTTTGTGCTTTAGCATCCTTGATACGTGTGAGTGACTGCCATGAATAGCATGCTTACCATGAGGCTATTTGCTTATGTGATATAACTGCCTAGATGCTTGTGGGTGAAGTTGGGTTATTCGAATTGGAACAATTCATCAAATGTGTGTTTTTAAAGCCCACTAGATAGTGGCAAAATCATGTTTTTCTAAGCCCACCAAGAGGGTGGCAAATCCATGTCTTAGCCTACTTACGAGTAGCACCATCAACCATTTTCAAACAAACAAACATGAAATGTTTTGTTCCAATTCAGGCGATCCAGTCTATAC